CTTTATTGAAATCGCAATTGTTTTTGTAAGTCTTTATTTAAATCATAAAAATTGCTTTAAAAGATACATTACGATAAAAAGCAAATACACAAAATTACATTTACATAAAGAATACAATCTCTTTTAAAATAAAAAATAAGAATATTTTAATAAAATCTATAATTTATAATTAGCTTTTAAAATTTTAACAATTTAATTAATATAAATTTATTTTTGTAAACAAATAATAAATATTCTTAAAACAATTCTAGAAATCTCAAAACGTAACATATTGTGAATAATACAATTTCTAAAACAATTTAACAGAATACTCTAGAACTTTATTTCGCTTAATCAGCATATTTTATAAACCAATAGAATTAGTTTGTTTGTTAATTTGGTGGGTTTTTAGTGTTCGCAAATATTCTTTTTATTCTTTCGCACAAAGATGTTTTAAGAACATTCAAGTTTTTAATGTTTCCATTCATAAATAAACTTAAACCTGGCCAGTTTTACGCAACTAAATGTAATTTCCGTGGTCAGTATTCGAGAGCGATCGCTCCGGCTTCCCGACCAAGCCTGGATATATATATATGTATATATATATATATATATATATATATATATATATATATATATATATATATATATATATATATATATATTTATATATATATATATATTAGTGTATATATATATATTTGTATATGTATATATATATATTTGTATATGTATATATATATATATATATAGTGTATATATATATTAGTGTATATATATATATATTAGTGTATATTTATATATATATATATATATATATATATATATATATATATATGTATATATATATATATATATATATATATATATATATATATATATATATATATATATATATATATATATATTAGTGTATATATATTAGTGATGTACCGGTATCACTTTTTTGGCCTATACTGATGGATGAGTAAAGGCTGATACGGATACTGATACTGATCATTAACTAATTATTAAACAGAAGTTGGACCCGGTCTATCTGCTAAGCTTTAGCCTTTTTTCCATTGTCATAAAGTTGTATCTCTTTCTCTTTTCTACAAATACTATCATGGTTGCTGCTCAAAGGAGCTTTTATCTCTAGTTCCATTAACCAAAACTCATTCTCCCTTGACTCATCATTCATCAAAGTCTCATTCTTTTACTGTATCTGTCTCTTCATGCTCCAAAAACTTTTTGTCTAGCGTTTTTCCCAACACTTCAACCCTTTGGAAATCTGTCCCATTTTCATGTTTTCCTGACTCATATAACCAGATTTTCTCAGGTATCGTGTGCGGTCGCACGCCTTGAATGACCATGCAAATATATATATTTTTTTGATAACTTGGCCATGATTTTTTTTGCATATATTAAAAATGACACATTTTAAAAACACGTTGAAAAACAAAACTAGTTTGTTATATTATTTTAATTTTCTTATTAATACTTTATTATTATAGTTATTAATGAAAAATTAAAACATTGAAATAACATATATATGGGCAAATTCCATTCAATTTACGGTACACGTGCAACAATTTTATCAAATATTTGCTTATTTAAACTTTAAATTAAACTTTCAGCTGTTTTATATAAAAGCTGTTAGTCCAATGAATAAAATAAGCTAAAAAGTTTTGAGTTTGGGCAAAAGAGAGCAAACTTATTACTGAAAATGCCACTTACACTTATGTTACACGGAAAACAAAATAAAAAAATTGCTTCAGCTTTTAGGTCTGATTTCTGCGAATCAGTAAAGCAGTTTGTATTAGAAACTTTCACAAAATGCTGATAATTCTATACCAATTTAAAAATTTTATAAAAACCTATCAGAGTTGAACAGCTAAGGTAAATAAACTTGTTTTTTTGATACTGTATATTTTACTTAAGTTACATCAGTTACATTATCGAGCGGTTATTGTGAATTTGTTTAACCAATTATTAAGAAACAAAAGAATTAAACTCATTCATTAAAATTCAAAAGAATTGAACTCATTCATTAATTCACAAAGAAATTTTTTAAAAACTAGTGGCACTCTTCCTGAGTGATTTTTCATAACATTCATGAAAGTTGTCAAACTGAAAACAGTTTTTTCAGAAAACCAAGAGTAACTTCAAAAAAATATTTTAGTTTTACATCTTTATTATTACTTAATTGAGTCATTGGTTTGTCGAAGTTTTCACTTACACTTCTTACGTTATTTGTATTGCTTTATTTTTATAAGGTTGAATTTTTAAAATGCTGCAAAGTATTCACATTTAAATCTTTTATTTACATCTATATGTCAACTAAAATAATTATACATAAACATAAAAAAACAATAAAATAAATAATTTTAATACACATAAAAAAGTTTTTTTTTTTAAATTCTTATATAAAAAGTATTAATTAAAACCTTGTCAAACCAAAATGAAGAAATAATAATTACTTAATGTTGTAATTCATTTTGTAATTCATTTCAACTTAACAAAAAGCGCCAGAATTTTATTAAATACATAAAAACAAATATATATATATATATATATATATATATATATATATATATATATATACACACACAAATAGTATTGCGTACTAAGGTAAGCAATCTGTCGTCATACTGAAATAGCCTGCTGCTAGGGGCTTCAGTACATACATCGACTGACAAATAGCCTGACTCGCAGTGGAGTGCTGCTACATCGACTGAGGGTTTGGAATAGGGCAGCAATCGTTTCATTCATTATTCTTCGTTTTTTTTCTGCTACATTAATTGAGGGTATGGCTGCAGGCAGTTTATCAAATAATTAAAAAAAAAATTTATAGCAAATATATACAGTGTTGGTCATTGAATTTATTACTCGTTTTTGAAGCACAACAAGATTTTTATTGACATAATGCTATTAAAATATAGCTAATACAAAATTCAATAAGCCAGACACTTCTGCTGCATGGCTGGCGTGAACTTTGGGTTATTCTGTGGTCTTTATGTTTGTATCTTTTATTATGCGTCCTTCTTGTTGTCCTTGCACTAATAGTAAATCCAGTAGATTATTGTCATTTGTGCATAAGCATTGACCATTTGTGTATGAGCATTGACCATTTGTGCATGAGACAAGTCTTATATCCTTGTGAAACAATTTCAGTAATAACCTGTTATATCTCATAGTAGTTTTAGAGGTACGCTTGCAATTTTATATGCCAGTTTCAAACAAGTTTTTGCTAATCTTTCTTCTGTCTGATGTGAATAATTGAGTGTTTTGGCTATTTCATAATTTTTCAAAGCTATGCTTTCCAAAAGATGTTTTATTTCACATTTCTCGCCATGCTCATGTCAGAGCGTTTGCCCATTTTTTGAGTTTACAACACTGAGTGATATTATAGATATCCTTAAATTGCAATTATTTATGACAAAAAACACCAAAAAGCATGTAAAAAATATGAAAATATCACAACAGAAAATAATAGCCGCAATTCATAAAATTGTCAATAAAATACAAAAAAATTATTAAGTTTCAGGCAGCACTATGGCAACCAACAATAATTTGATGTATATTCAGTAATAAAAAAACAAAATTAATTCTGACCAAGACTGAGAAGAAACAGTACAAATGTACTCTAAAAGAAAATATTTTTTATGGCCACTTTATATAGACATATATTTATGTACACACATTGAGATCTTCTGAGTTTTCTTGATTTGAGACAAAGAATTGTAAGAAAAAGTTGAAAATCTGATACAAGCTTGTCCTTATGACATTGATGCAAGTTTGTTTGATGGATTGATTCATTTTTGATCTTATTTGAAAGCAACTAAAAGCTACAATGTAGACGGAATTAATCATACAATAAAACTATTAAAGATGACCATTTTTTTAAGCATTGAAACAGTTTTGCCATTTTTTTTATGTCTTATGGTAACTAATTGTTCTGGTGAGTACTTTTTTTTCAAAATTGAAGATAGTTAAAACATATTTGCACAATCCCATTGGTTAAATTATGTTAAACAGTTCAGCAATCATAACAATTAATCACATTAAAATCGTAAAAATTAAATTTTGATGATTAGGTATAATGTTTTCGATTCCCCACATATAAGCAGTCCACTTTTTTGTAAAATATAGATCAATTATCTTGTAACAGTTTTCTGTCCTAATTAATGGTGAAATTATAGGTTTAAACTCCGTTTACAGGTTCTCAGCAATCTTTTGTCAACATTTAGTTTATAGTCTTGGAATTAAAAGTGGTTTACAATTCAATAAGTTTACAGGGATGTGGCCAAAGTTTTTTTAAAGCCTGTTCTCTCTTGTATGCTTTGCTCTCTCTGTTAGCAAGATTCTTGTCAACATCTCATATCTTTAATGCTTAGCTTATAGGAAATACTTATCTAAAACAATATTGATCATCTCCATCCAATTGCATTTCATCACCCAAATATTAAATTATAAATAATAAAATAAAACTAAATAATAATTCTAATTTTTTATATAGAAAGTTACAGACTTAAAAGATGAAAAAATGGAAACAATGCCATCTGATTTTGAATCGAAAACTGTTACAGCAGATGGAAGGTATAATATTTTAATATTAAGTTATAAACTGATTGTTCAGTTTAGAATTTTAAATGTTTACTACACAAATTGTTTTTTAAGAAGTGAAAGATATTTTAAATAAAAATTACTTTATTTACTTAAAAAGATATTTACTTAAAAAAATATTGGAAATAAAAGATATTGAGAATAAAAGAATATATTGAAAATAAAAAGAAGATATTGAAATAAAAAAAAAGATATTGAAATAAAAAGAAGATATTGAAAATAAAAGATATTGAAAATAAAGAGATATTGAAAATAAAGAGATATTGAAAAGAAATTTACTTATAAAGTTATTGAAAATAAAAGATATTGAAAATAAAGAGATATTGAAAATAAAAGATATTGAAAATAAAAAGATATTGAAATAAAAAGAAGATATTGAAAATAAAAGGTATTGATAATAAAGAGATATTGAAAAGAAATTTACTTAGAAAAATATTGAAAATAAAAATTACTTAGTTACTTAAACTAATTGTAAGCATTTTTTTATCGAAAAAAAACTTTATATATAAAGAAACTAAACTTGTATTATATACTAATAACAAGCAATACAATAAAAATAAAAGTAAAATACAATATTGAACTTGCAGATGTCTCTAAATAAGCTTTCATTCATTGCAGATGTCTCTAAATAAATCAGTAAGCTTTCATTCATTACAGCATAAATAAAATATGCTACAATAATTAAATTTCAATAGTGATGAAGTTTTAGCATGCAGTAGGCTAACCAGGACTGATGTCTGCTACATTGTTCGACATAATCAAATAAAAGTTATCCAACTTGAATATATTATTAAAAAAAAGTTTAAATATAGCTATTGCTGTTTAAAATATTGCTAAATTCACAATTTACTCCAAACGAAATGCAAATTGACGTTAGTCTGTTGGAGAGAAATATTAGACAAAAACATCATTTCTTTTAAAGTTACTTTGCCAGATATTAATGATATAAAATTTTTTAGCAGAGAGGCAATACAAGCGTTAAGAAAAAACTGTTTAAGATTGAATCAATAAAAACTAGTCTTAGTTCTTTGATGTTTTTGGATAATCAAGTATTTTTGGCAATAAAAAAAAAAATCTTTATGCAGATTTTACCGTTGTTAAGTATAAATTATTATTCAGCTAAATTGTTTATCCCCATATAATCCTTTCCATAATTATGAGTCATTTTTGTTGTTTTTGTTGTGAAGGGTTTTAAATGATTTTTCTGCACATTTTCAACACAATCATTATGTTGCTTTAATCGTACGTAGATAGATTTCAATGGCTTACTGGCTTACCTTTTTAAGGATGTTTAATAGTACTTTAAGTACAGAAAAAAAAAAAAAGTTTATATATCAAATACATTACAAAATGAGCTGATAAAATGTTGCAGGGAGAAGAAATCCAAGAAGAAAACCAAGTATTTCTCTATTGCTACTGATGAAACCTTAGGCAGTTCAAATTTCTTTGAACTGCCTGAGGTTTCACTTTTTTAACATAGTTTCAACTACAGATTAACAAATAATGATCAATCTCTTCACTTGGAAATTTTGATCAACATTTTCAAATATGCTATGAACAAGCTAATTGCACACAAGATAAATATTAAAAAAAAACTTTATTTATTGCACAAAACAGCTAATACTTTTCCAGAAACTGAGTTAAACACAATATTTGATGATACAAATTTAAAGTCCTATAAAGTACTTGTCTTTTAGTTTCTTCTTTCTAATCTTTAGTTTTTTCAAATATGGTTGCGGAAATTCAGTGTTTATGTTATACTATTTTGAAATACCAAATCATACTTTTTAGTTACTTTTATATAAAGACTTACCAATTCCTAAACCAAAAGGGTTTATTAGGCCTATTTATTGTTGCCAGATCAAAGGCTTTATTAAGTGAGATTGACCTGTTAGATATTTGGTTAAATTTCACTAAATTGGTAAATTTCAAAAATGAGTTCCTATCTAACATTAATGAAACATTAGAAACAACAAATTTTCCTGTATTTGAAAACATTAAAAATTATTTTAAGTTACTTCTACCTTACTCTTATAGATGGGAGCAAACCTTTTCCTAACTTAGGCGGCTAAAAAGCTATAAGAGCATGCTCAGTTGTCCATGACCCTGCCATAAATACAAAAAAGATTTGTTCTTTAATAGAAATTTTAAAATTAAATTATATGGTATTTGTAGACTAGATTTTCGAGGTCTATAATTTTTATGAATGGTTATCTAAGAAAAGGTTTGAATTTTAAAATTCAAGAGAATTTATTTTTTTAACAGCAAAAATCAGTCTACAAACTTTTTAAAATAACTCCAACAAATGTTGCAGATATATCAATTATTATATATTTAAATAAAATATAGAAGATCAACATAAAATGATTTTAAAAGTAAAAAACTTACAAAAACATATTTCTCTGGATGTTTAACCAATTTTTATACAAGTTGTTATAAATAAAATTTTGATCAACCAGGAAAATATTTGCCAATGTTTGCCTGCCATAAAATTTTTTGCTTATGAAAAAACGATCTGTATAAAAAAGTTCTTAAAAAGTTTTGGCTGCTTTTGTTTGGTTTTTTAACTCAGTCAGTCCAAACATGATTGGTTTTTTAACTCAGTCAGTCCAAACATGATTGGTTTTTTAACTCAGTCAGTCCAAGCGTGATTGGTTTTTTAACTCAGTCAGTCCAAGCGTGATTGGTTTTTTAACTCAGTCAGTCCAAACATGATTGGTTTTTTAACTCAGTCAGTCCAAACGTGATTGGTTTTTTAACTCAGTCAGTCCAAACATGATTGGTTTTTTAACTCAGTCAGTCCAAACATGATTGGTTTTTTAACTCAGTCAGTCCAAACATGATTGGTTTTTTAACTCAGTCAGTCCAAACGTGATTGGTTTTTTAACTCAGTCAGTCCAAACATGATTGGTTTTTTAACTCAGTCAGTCTAAACATGATGCATATAAAATAAAATGCTACTCTCCTTTTCTGAATCATGATGTTTTGAAACAATGTTTTTCTGTGAAAATAAATATTCTAGAATAATAGTTTGAGTTTAGATAAAAATTTGAATAATCAAAAAAATGATATTCACAAAAAATAATTTGTAATAGTTTTGAGTCTATATTTTAATATGAAGAACAATCACATTTTTGATTATCTGATTAAAGGAAAGTTTGAAAATAAATATGTAAATTTAATTACTTAGGAATCAAAAATTGTAATTCATATATTGGTTTCTCAATGTTATCCCAAGCACAATCCTATTAATAAAATTGAAAAATTTATGAAAGAGTTTGAAAAGAAATAGAATCAAATAAGAATAGAAGTATTATCTTTTGAATAGAAGTATTATCTTTGCTCTCTTGTGCGGATATTTTATTCAATATAAAGCATTTTTGAATTTAAATTACTTTATATTTCTGCGTGGAAGCCAATATTATTTTAAAGTCATATTTAGTTTGATTCACTGAATGTGTAAACTACATCACAGTAAATTTAACTTAAAGTAAATCAAAACTACCTGTTTAGTTACTACAATAACTTACAGTAACTCAACTATTAAATATACTTAATATACTCAAAGACTCACCATATAAATGTTTCTATGTTGTTAACACTTAATAAAAGCTTCTAACTAAAAATTATTTTAACAAGACATCTTGAATAGATTATAAAAAATGCAAAACCATTTTTATTTAAATATTTTATTTTAATTAAATATTTTATTTAAAGTGTCATCAAGATCAAACATTTTTTATAAATACACAAGTTGTTTTCAGGAATTTTTTTAAAAAGAAATCTATTTGAACAATAGAATTTTAGTCTTCTAAAATTCTCTTATTTGAATAATTTTTCGATTGAAATTTGAAGTTGAAAAAAAATTGAAAAAATTGAAAAGCATTATAATGCTCAATAATTATAAATTTAATTCAGCAGCGTCCCTAATCGTGAGAACCATTGCTGAAAGTTAAACGTATATTTAGCTAGAGTAACAACAGGGGTGGATTATAACTGAAGCAATTGAGGCATGTGCCTCTGGCCCCCAAATTTTGTTAAATGCTTTTTAAAAAAGAATGTTTTTTTTACTTGAAGTATTTAAAATCATGTGCTATTGGAAAGAAAGAACAATTTCCGTAATAATATATGTTCCTATTAATACACAACAGCAGTTATGAAACTCTGTAACTTGTATGCTTTTCTCATTCATTAAATTTAGTTAGCAAAAATGCTGTTGGTTGTTGTAGTGCAGCAGTTGGTTTTTTTGATATTGTACAACAAATCTACACATTCTTTAGTGCCTCTTATCGATGGACAATCCTGACAAAAGCGCTAACCAAAGACAAAACACCAATGCCTAAAAAGCAGACACACATTAGTCAGCACATGCAACAAGTGCTTTGCACAATAATATTAATCTGCTTTAGATACCATTGCAACTGATGAACAAATAAAAGCTAAAACTTGACAATAGACGCTTGAACTAGTAAAACGTCTTAGAAACGTTTATTAGAAACTGGTACTATGTCTTTTGGGACAGAATACTGCAAAGATTCAATAAAACAAGTCTTGCTTTACAAGGTGCAACTTAAGATTTAAATAAAGCTGTTGGTTTGTTGCATTCTTTGTCTGAGTATGTTCAACCATTGAAATGTTGTCGTATTTGACAGATTTGGATAAATTTTAGAAATATGGAAAAGAGTTTTCCAAATGTGAAGTATATAAAAAAGAAGTCAAAAATGTCAGAATAAGAAAGCAAAAGTTTGATGAAAATATTACTGAAGAAGATCTCCTGCTTGCAAAAGAAATAAATTCGAGTTAATGTGCTGATTGATATTATCAATCAATAAAAAGCAGCATTGGCTCAGATATTTACCGCATATTCAAATGTGCCCAGCAGATTTGGGTTCACAAACAGTTTGCAAACATTGACTCATATGTAAGTGATAAAACATTGCGATACTTTAGCAGCAAATTACTCCAATGACATTGAAGTCAGCTTGGAAGAGGAAATTGTTCACTTTTGATCTTACGCAGTCACACAAATTAATTCTGATGATATAAAAACAAGCATTGTTGATGAACTGCATTTTTCTCAATGATGGTTTGGTAGACTTTTCGAAATAGTGCAGTAGCTTTTAGAATTAACCTGAGTCTAATGGTGACAAATTGTACATGTTTAAGAAGTTTCTTGCAATTAAAGCGTATAAAAAATGAATGTTTTACAAGAATTAATCAAGAGCGGCTCTACATGCTTTCTTTGATGTGAATTGAATAGTGAGATGATCAGAATACTCTCATTTAATGAAATTGTTGAACAGTTTACCAGACAAAAAAAATCCAGAAAATGTCACTTTAATTTTTAAATACATGACTGAAATATAAAATTACATGCCATTACTTTTTCTTTATTCAAAATGGCTCCCAAATTATTTGTGCCTCTGGCCCCAAGTACCCTTAATCCGCCCCTGAGTTACAATATTAGATTTAGAGCATAGTGCAAGTGAGGAAGAAAGTTGTATTTAAATCGTAAACATTTTGAATAGTTAATTATATTTTGTTTTTTGAAAATAGTTCTAAAGGTAGAAACATTCTATTGCAAACATTAAACCATTGATAGCAAAAAATTTTTCTTAAAAATAGTTTAAGCATATTCTTAAACTTAGGGAAGTATAATTCAATTAAAACCAAATTTTTTTGTTTCATTTTTTATTGCAAATCAATTAGAACTAAAAAATTGAATCAAGATCATCAACTTAAAAACCATTTGAATGAAAAACATAATTATACTTAACTTTTTAATTGAATGCTAGATCAAGTAGCAATCGTCCTACATCCCAAGGGGGATGTAGAGGGTGTCTAGCCCCCCCCCCCTCTTTTAAGATCTCTTCAGGATGGCCCTGTTCATAGCTACACATCAAAAATCGCATTGAACTTTTATTATATAAATACTTTTTAAAGTATTTGAATTCTTTATTGCTGTTATATATATGTATGACTTTTTCACTCTTAGTAAATATTTATATCAAATTTATTTAGAATTAAAAGTTGTTTATATACTTATATAAAAGACTTTATTTGCACAGTTGCAAAATGTTTAAAAAAAGTATTTTTGTAAGATAGTGTTAGGTCGTAAAGATCTTTATTAAAACTGCCAGTCATGAGCTTGTGAATAAGTAAATAGTTTTTTTTTCCAAATACTTAGTAATAAAAGATATTCTTTGTCTGTGTAGTACCTTCGATTTTTGTTATAAATAAAATTTATTAAATATTGTGCCTACTGATGATTCACTATTTGATTTTTATCTTTTTTGGAAACATCTTGATCTTGAATTTGTCTACAGAAGTCTTCTATTTAAAAAAATTATAACCTACAGCGTCAGCTGAGTATTTTCATAAAATAATATTTTTTAGTTTGCAAAAGAGATTTTTTCACTATAGTGACCATTTTAGAATTGTCATAAATGATGTACTTTTTATTTGGATTTACCCAAAAAACCTTCTGCACCCGACCCTGGGCAACCGGTTATGAGTTAGAAAGTAATTTTTAACTTCGAGATGGTAGTGCAATAATGCTTCTTCTTGATATCAAAGTTTAAAAATCAGTGCCATCCTGAAGAGATCTTAATGTGGGGGATATTTTTTTTGCTGAATATCAACTAAAAACCAATGTTAAAAAAAAAATTCTATTACTTGTGTTTTACGGAAAACATTCTTCTTGAAAATTAGTTTTATCTAATTTTGAAACTAGCATCTTTTAAATAACTAATCTTATGCTCTTAGCACTGATAGCCTTTTTCTAGGGAAAAAAACATCACCTGCCATTATGTTTCTTGGTTTATTATTATAATACTTTGGTTATTATTTTTATATTTTTATAATTTTTTTTTTACCTTGGTTTATTATTGTATTATCTTGGTTATTATTACCATGGTTTATTATTATAATACCTTGGTTTATTGTTATTATATTATTGTTATAATACCTGCCATTATGTTTCTTGGTTTATTATTATAATATCCTTCCTCCAAAAGTTTCTCTTAAGAGTTCGATTGTTAGGCTGTATAAACAATAGGACTATTAAGCTGTCAAAGACTTATCAAGACATCTCTGGTGTCTTGATATGTCATGTCTTCGACTGCATAATGTACAAAGTTCTCAAGCATTTCTTTATACCTTTTACTTATTAACTGTTGGTGCGCTTTCTGCATCATCTTCAGAGAAACAAGGTCCAAGATTTTTTTCTGCATTTTCACCACACCAAACAATTATTTTCACAGGGTACCAACAATCTTGGCAGAATTTATTTTTATTCATTTTTACAGGGTCTAAACAATGTTTGTGGACTTATATATGGACTTATATAACCCAATAATGCATATTTATACAGTGGTCTTGTAACCCACAAAAAGGTTGTTAATGAAGTCAGGTTCTTACCTTGCCAAATCTTGGATAGAGATACCATGCTAGTTGTATCTTGTAATTTTCTGGCACCAGTTCAAGCTCTAACTGTATCCTATACAGATAGGCCATACTTTTAATACTCTGGAGCAATGTTCAAGTTATGTCAAGCTGATAGGAATACTTTATAGTTGACATTAAAGGCTCTTCAATGTTTTGGTGAACACACTGGTTGTCCTGTGACCTTCCTAAATTTAGCCTCCCAGCACATAGTAAATGACTTACAGATCCATGAATTTAAAACTGCTTGACTAAGGTGGTTATTTAACTTCAAAATGACTCGTGTAAGCTCTTTGCCTAGCATGATTAATCGTTTATTTTCTAGATAAAATTTGATTAGTTTAATTTTAGTTAATTGTTTGTTCCTTCGTAAGTGTTATAGATGTTACTTTCGTTCAAAGTGCTATGTTACTATTAGTTTCTTTTAAAAGCAGAGTGTTAATTAAAACTTTTGTCCACATATATTTATTAAAATGACTCTATTAACGGAAAACATTCCTGTGAAAAAACCCTTTATTACCTCTACTGTATTAGTTGTCTGATTAGTTGTCTCAAAAAGGTTGGATGTAACGTTTAAAGTTATTTTCAACTTTTTTTTGTAAGATTGAAACATCAAATTAAATTAAAATAAATACTATTTTAAAATTTAGACTACATTTTTAAAACAAGGTTTCTTTGACTTTAGCAACCTTTATATCAGAATGTACAACACAGACCTTAGAATTAGGGTCGGCATTCAGCAATGCCGACCTAACTGCAGACCTAAATGTGTTTGAGGTCAGTAAAATATCGTAGATCTTATTTCAATGTTTTATGGTAAAACCTTTGTGTTAATTTTCTTTTGCCCACCTGATGCCGATCTCTACAATTTAAGGTCAGCAATAAATTGGTGATCTCCTGGGGATTCCCCATTGGTTTAAAAATTAATTTTTTTTGTAGTGGTAAAATTTTAATAAGAATTCCAATATTTTGTAGAACAATAAAAATAAATATTCCCAATATCGCTAAAATATGGTAAAAAATATATTCTTGGCTAACACCCTATTAAAATCAATTAGTATGTACATGGTGGCCACAGTCCTGGAATGTCCTGGATTTTTGCAAGTGTCCTGAAATGTCCTTGAAAATTACATTTTTTTCAAAAATGTCCTGAAATGTCCTGGAACTTTTTTTTTCCAAGTTAAAAAATTACTAAGAATATTGAAGTAATATTAAATTTTATATGCGAAAATTTTTTTTATATAAATGTTTTGAATTTAATTTTAAATAAGAGAGTAATTATATAATAATATTCTATTCTATAATTCAATCAATATGAAAAAAATATACCGTAAAGATAATTGATAATATTCATTTAATAAGATATAAAATGTCCTGGAAAACGCAACAAAATGTCCTGAAATGTCCTGGAATTTAACTTTTAAAAATTTGTGGCCACTTTGTATGTAGTGTCCCTAATAATATTGTGTCCTAGGTATATTGTGTAGTAGGTATAATCAGTGTGGAGTGTCCTTAGGTCTACACTTCTCTACAAATCAGTTAGTGTATATTTGAAAACACTTGAAATACGTGACCAAAGTTTTTTTTCAAAGTTTATTTTTTCCTTCTTATGAAAAAAGTAAAATTATTTTTATTATATATGTAGCTCAATATTATATTATAAATAAATGTGATTCTTGTAATAGTTAAAATAATTTTTTATTTTTTATTTATAAAGGACATCAACTTTGAAGATTTGTAGTTGGAATGTTGCTGGTCTTAGAGCATGGGTCAATGTAAAATTTATTTAAAAGTTCTTTAATTTTTTTTTTTTTTTGAAGTAATTAATCAAAACATTTTAAAATATTCATTAACAAAGTATTTTTTCTGAAATGATTTTACTAAAAATTATTACTTTTTGAGTTTTTATTTTTTTATTATTATAAATTCTTAAAAATAAAACAGAAGTTTATTAATAATTAGCTATATTTTTGTTATTGTCGTTGTAATTGTTGTTATTATTATCATCATTTACCTGATTTGATTGTTACTTCCTATATTTTTCTTATATTGGTCAGTTAAGGTTTCTTTTTCATGAAAAGAAGCATCTTACTTAGAAGAAGCATCTTTCACAAAAAGAAGCATGTTACTTAGAAGAATGAATACTCTGATATCCCTCTAGTTTATTTGTGAGTAAAGGTTAGAAAAACTTGGAAACTTTGTGTGGTAATCTTTCCAGTGGTAAAAATAATATAAATACACTAATCTTTATCTATTTTAAAACAGAATAATGCCATGAAAAGCATTCTTTTTAAAATATTATTTTAACTTTATCATATTTAAATACGAAAATCACATTATAGAGACTTTTGTATCTATAATGTGACTGTATCCTTTATAAAGTGACATAAGTGAAATAAATAGCATTTTTTCCCATGTGTTGCATTCAAGCCACTTGAGTTAAAAATTTTTAGAACTTCATTGCCATTAAACTTGTCAAAATAAGCTAAGTACTTTTTAGTGTATAATAGTTATTGGTGTAATGAATCACAAGTATTAAATTTGATTTAATTTATTTTAACTGGGCAAATGCATCATATAATTGCATCTAATAATAAAGTTGCAGACACAAGAATTACTCTCTATTATTGTTTAGCAGTTTGTGGCATTATCTAAGGAACCTTAGATAATAAACTTGAAAAAAAGAAAAAAAAAATTATTTTGTTATTATTATTGTTATTATTGCTGTTACTGTTATATTATTGTTTTTATCATTGTTAACTCTTTCACTTCCGCAAGTCACTGCTTTTAATTTTTTAAAAATTTTGACCACATGCCGCTGGTAGTGGCTTTTGAGTATGATTCACAGTTTATCTTGTTTTGTACATAAATTTTCATTCTAAACACGTATAATTTGTTTGTTCTTAAGGTTTAATTATTTTTCTACATAATCAAAAATAAATAAGAAGCATTTTATGTAATTATAAAAAGTTATCACTTGACTAAGTCAAAAAATCTTGAGTAATACTTGATAGAAAAAACTTCTTTAAATTTATTTCTAAAATAAAGCTTTGTTAACACTTTAAAATTTGACTAGAAGTGTATAAGTATTTAGCTAAGTCTTTTGAAGAAAAACATTTATTTATACATTAAATGAGTTTTGTTTTGGACTTGATGTTTTAGTTACTATTTATAAAAAAAACGGTTTTAAGCAATTTGCATTTCTTATTGTTCATCAATGCATATTAAAAACTTATTTAATTGAAAAGTTCATTTGTTTAGCTTTCTATTGATATATAGTTTGTTATGCTTTTAGAAAGATTTACTATTCAAATTTTAATTACTTGTCAATGTTATGCCATCCAAATTTTTATCAAACATTTATGCAGTCACAGTGAAAAGATTTTTGTTAAAACGGCTGGTAGCGAAAGAGTTAACAAGTAGTGAAACATTTTACTTTATTTCATTATTAACAAGTGGTGAAACATTTTTCTTTAAATATTAATATTTGTTTATATTTTCTTTTGATTTCTTGAAAGAAAAATGGTTTAAATTATGTCATTGAAGAAGATCCAGACGTTTTATGTTTGCAAGAAACAAAATGCACAGAAAATGATTTACCAGGACAAGTTTGCATTTTTGTTCTCTTTTTTTCTTTTATGTTTTATTTTTACTAATATTATTACTTTTAAATTTATGTCTAGCTTTTGCTAATAATTATTTATACTTTTCCATTTGCTTTTAATTTTAATTTTTTTTTTAATGATATTTTGATTTTATTCAATAATTTATTATAGGTGCTTCAAATGAAGAATGGACCAAAAGTTACTAACGTTTCGAATTCTGGTTACTATATGTACTGGTGTAATGCTAAGAAAAAAGGATGCAGTGGAGTTTCGTTAGTTAATATTTTATTTTTTATTTTCAATATTTTGTTATTCATTTTTTTAAAGTAGTATTTTGCTTTTAAAGATTTGCTAAGTGCAAAATGGGCAGTACAAGCAGGTCTTGGTCAGAATAAATGAGAGAAAAAATAGAGAATCATTTTTTAAAAAAGACACAATGAGTGTTTCACTTGTTTTCATAGCTTTTTGCACAAGCTTTTATTTTTTACACCAATAATTTACTTGAGTTTTATAAACAAAGAGCATTATTGAGATAATGGTTTTGATAGTAAATCTTTAAAAAAAAATTTTATTAATAATCCTATAACAACATTTCCTTTATTTTGATTTATAGCATTTCTTTGCTGTTTGAAAAAGTCTTTTGTTTATTAAATAGTTTAAAAAAAATTAAACAATATGCCTTAGTGGCTGAAGTGGTTAGGTCACAGCATACTTTAGTGAAATGTTGTGGTTCAAATCCTTGCTCTTTCACTTTTCTTTTTTTTAGGTCAAGATCCATATTTTACAGGTCCAAAATGCTAGTGTAATGCCTAATTTTACACCTGTAGTTTTGTATGTACTGATAATTTGATTTTTGTGTTATTTTCATAAAAAGTAGCAGTGTAATCTGTTTTCAAATTAAGTTTATTAAATCAAACACATTTTAATATAAAGCCAAGAGGAATTACACTCTCTGATAAAAAAAGCCTACTGATCATTGTGTTAATCAAACAGGACTTATAATTTTCTTTTTATAATTTGGACTTATTAATTTAATAATTTGCAGAGAGAAACTGAGATGCTTACCACGTTAGATCAATAAATTCGTAAATGATCCAAAAAATTATTGCATAAAGTATTAGTGGTAAAAGACTGATGCTTAAAGCTCAACAGCTACAAGGAATTGTTTATGCTGCTAGTAGTTGCACAGTCTATGCGAGATAAATTAGCACTGATCTGGCATTGAAATGCTCAAGATGGGTTGTGAATTGTGCATTTAACAAGTCAGGCATTTTCAGATATGCATAGAAATGCAAATTTTCAGCATGAGGTAAAGCTCACAAATGCTTCAAAAAAAAAAATGAAGCGAAATTATATGAAAATTTTAAAAATGATAACTATATTATATAAACATAAATATGTTAGTTTTAACAGCATTAAAATTTTTTTTTTTTTTTATTCACCTCCTCAAGGCTGAGAAGGCCACTACAGACAAGGAGGCTACTTAATAGTGGTTATAACCCTCTCTCAACTCTATAACTCCGAAACACAAACCTTGACCAACAAGGCCGCTGTGCGAAGAAACAAGTTGAGCGCGGTACTACCAGGGACATGGTGGGGATCGAACTTGGAACCTCTCGCTTATGAAGGAAGTATTTTACCACTACACCACTACCGCATGAAAAATGAAGTTTATATTAGGGATGTACCGAAGCTAAAATTTTGCCGAAGCCGAAGCTTCGGCCGAAGCCACTTTGCCGAAGCCGAAGCTTCGGCCGAAGCCGAAGCTTCGGCACTATATATGCTTAAAATTTAATCAGCATTCAGATTAGCAGGGGTGTAAAACAAAAAAAGGTTCCAAAACTAAGATCTTTGACTAATAATATAGAGAAAATGTATAAAAAGGAGGACACAAGTCAGGGTTGCTGCCCCAGGCAGGGCAAAAGCTCTCAGCGCCCCTGTTTGAAAGTTTCTCATTACGTCGTTTCTGATACTTCACCGCACCTAGTGTTTTTTTTTAAGACTTGAGCTTTTTTGAAACATTCTCCCCAAATTTTCCTACTTCTAGTTCTACTTTTTCTGTGTGCAAACCATATTACTGTTATATATTGCACAATATCAGTAACTCATATATATTTCCAACTATTCCCAATATTCTTCTAAGATTATTGCTATTTTTTTGGTCTTTTATAGCCATACTGTTTTTCTATGTAAACATCGTTTCTCTTTAATCCTCTATCTAACCATCTAATTTTTAATCCTCTATTTAATCATCTTGTTTGCTCTATCTAATTATCGTGTGCTAGCTGAACATCCTCAAATTTTATTCCCCAAAAATTACTATTACGCATCTTTTCATGTGCTGTATATTTTATTTTTATTTTTAATGCACCTTTTGTTAAGAATGGATAAAAATTTCTGAATATTACTCAAGTAAATTTATCTTTTACACTTGAACACTCTTTCTCTAAATAAACACTCTTAGCTGATCTAGTTGTATCTACAACATAAAAAATCTTACAAACACACTCTATCTTTTTATTGCTATTTATTTCAATATCTTTTTTTTACTTCTCTGTATTTATTAAACGAACAATTTCTAAACTAAAAAAAAACCCAAGTTAAGACCATTTTGTATTCCACTACAACTGTTGTGAACCTGCTGCTAAAAAAAAGTACAATTGATAGATTTCTCTCTAACTTCTTTTTTACACACTTTTAAGTTGTTGTTGTTGTTTTTTTATTATTTTTAATTTTACACTACATAACATTTTCTTAAGCTTCTATTAATCTTTTACACTCTGAAGTTATAGTACTCATTCTTCTTCTGTCTCTGTAATGAATAAATCTGCATCAGTATCTGAAATCAAATATTAACTATCTGTGACAAAAACTTCTATAGTAATCTAACAACTCAGTATAGTGAGCTTTAAATAAAATAATAAATAGAATACTTTATAAATTTTCTATTTATAATTATATTATTATTTACTTTATATTTATAAATAAACAGGGACTGAGCAGGCTGATATTTATTTGATTTAAATTGTTTATTTAATTTAAATAAATTTTGATGATAAATATAAGAGCTCAAAGTAATCAAAGCCTTTAACCTTTAATTTATTTTAAATAAAATAAGTCTTCATATCATAAGAAAAACCAGTCTTCATATCATAAGAAAAACCAGAATATAAGTTTATGTTTAATATATAAATTCAATTTAGAAGTATTCATAATATTAATAAACGAGCAAAGATAATTGTTATCATTGTTTTTCTTTTTCTTTTAATTTATATAGTTTTGGTTTACTTTTTTTTTCTTTTTTTATTCTCTTCATTTATATTTCGTTTGCTTTTCTTCCTTTTTTGTTGTTGAGAACTTTATGTTTTTTATGTGTCACTCCATTGACTAATTTGTAATTATATAAGTGACACTTAACCAATTTCTGTAATCTTACGATGAAAATTTGTAAATTTTTATTATTATGGTTAAATAAAATTTAAAAAAATTAAACAAACACAGAATTTAAAATAGTAGCAACGTATCTTTAATCTTCTTTAAAGTGAGATTACTAAGGTTTATAGGTCAAATGTTAAAACCAATTTTTGTTCCATTTGCGGTAATCCCACACAAAAATTAATATAAGTTCGTTACATAATACAAATTAAGGTTTTTTTTCCATTTTATTTTTAAAAAATTTTAATTTGTTTTAAATTATAAGGTTTTTATTCTGCATAAAAATGCTGATTCAGTTCATTTAAAGTCACACTTGGAAGCCTTCAAAGTGTATGAGGACCTTCCTTAATTTTACTATTATATTCAAAATATTTCTACTTATTTATTATCATCCCCTCCATAACAAGACATTTGGGAGTAAATAAAACTAAATATATGGTATAGACTCCAACTTTAACTCTGTAGTCCTAAATTTACAACTTAATTAGACACTGGCAATTAGCATATTATTATAACTTGTACAACAGTAGCTTATAACTTTAATTACTTAAAATTTTTTGCCGAAGCCAAAGATTCGGCAAAAAATTGACCTGGCTTCGGCCGAACCGAAGCTTCGGCAAAATTGCCGAAGCTTCGGCATGCCGAAGCCGAAGCCGAAGCTTCGGTACATCCCTAGTTTATATAAAATAAATATGTTAGTTTTAACAGCATTAAAAATGAAGTTTATCAACTTAAAAAAAAAAAGTGCATTTTTACCTTTTTTTTGACGATGTTTTTTTTTTAAAGTTTTTTATAATATAAATAAAAATTGTATATATATATATATAAATATATATATGTATATATATAAATATATATATATATATATATATATATATATATATATATATATATATATATACACACAAATAGAGTGCTCAATGTTCTTAAAGAACAGAGCAATAATAATTTAGTAAAAACGCTTATCTAATTTGTTTGGTCATTTGTTTTTATAATTTTTTTAAAAGGAACTTATTTTCATGTCTGCATTTACAAATTAATTCAGTTTTTTTATTGAGTAAATTTTCTTGATCTAAATGAGTAATAATTTCAAATTTTTCTTGTAAACATAGTATACATTTTTTAAAAATGTTATTATAGGCAGGGCGCAGTTTTTAGAATAGACCAGTTTAATTTAAAATTAATATTTTTTTTTTAGTTGTCAAATATATTTTGACAGCATAGTCTCTTTTGGGTATTTTTTATGTTTAAAAGGTTGTTTGTGGTTGGCATAATGTTTTTTCCATTTACCCTTGATTAAGCCAATACATTGTTTTGTGGGTTGTTTTGTGGTTGTTTTGTGGGTTGTTTTGTGAGGAAACAATGCATTTGTAAATAATATTTTTTTATAAGCATTTGCCATTCATAGGGCAGTCAATTTTTAGCTTACAATTACGATTTTCAGTATTTTTTTCTTTAAGAAATTTATTTTTATTAATCAATGCAAAATTATGGTCTTTTATAATTCTTTCAATATTTTTTGTGCAGCTATATCTTACATTAATAGTATTTCTGTTAAAATTTTTGTGCAATTTATTAGAGGGAGGGAAATGTTTGTCTACTAATTTTAAAAACTCTTTTCCAATATTTGTTGAAACATTTTTGCTGTATGGAGGGTTGAACCAAAATTTTTTTGTGAACCTGTATTATTGTTTTTTCTATTATTTTTTCAATCTATTGTTTTTATATTAATTTTTTTTATTTAGGTTATGGTGCAAGCTAAAGCCACTAAAAGTAACCTATGGGTTAGGTACTTGCATTTACATTAATTAATTACAATTTTTACAAATTTTATGTTTTAATATTATCTCTTTAAAGATTAAGTTAAGTGATCATGAATTCTATTTATAATAAATCAACCCTTAAAATAAGGGTTGGCATTTAGCAATGCCGACCTGAAAGTGTTTGAGATCGGCAGTTTTTTGCTGACCTCACTTCTATCTTTTATGGTAAGACCTTTGTATTAACGTTTTTTTGTTGACCTATAAAAAATTGAGGTTGGCAAATTTTTGACAACCACATTTTTCTTAATTCCGAGGGTTAGTGTATATTATCAGGAAAAATTTCTGATCTATAAAGTTTCAGTTTACAGAAAACTGTGAAAATTATGGTTATTGAAGTAGTGAATTAACTTGAGTTTATTTACCAAAAAACAAAACTATACTTTACAACAACAAAAGTAGTAATAACACCATTTTACTTATAACTTACATTAAAATTTTTTTATTTGTTTTAAACAGCAGTTACTCCAGATATAAGTAAAAAAAATAATAATAATAATTATATCCTATATTTTATTTGATAGAAAGTTAAGAAAATTACTTATAAAAATAGTTTAGAAAACTTTAGAAACTAATATATGTATATATGTATATATATATATATATATATATATATATATATATATATATATATATATATATATATATATATATATATATATATATATATATATATATATATATATATATTCAGCAGATTTCATACAAAATTTATACATACAATTATCTCACAATTTGTAGTTTTATATTTATGATGAAATGCAGATAAAGGTCTAGTTACAAGATAAGTTGTCTTGATTTAATAAATATTTTTAGCATGAAAAGCTTCACCTAATCATTAAGAACTAGCTGTCATGACCCGTAAAATACGGGTCTTTAGGATATCGATGTGCACTTTATTTGCGTACTTACAGCTCATTAGAACTCTTATCCAGCTTATAACGCAAGAAAATCTCAATCAAATGAAAACATCTTTCTAAATGATAATTTTTAATGTCCTAGATGCAAAGATTAAACTTATTGATTTGCGTAAACACTAACTCTAACATAAGTGGCATTTGCGAGACATTTCTTGCAACTTTTGTCAAAATTTAATGGTAATGCTCCAATCCTAAAGGATAAGGGGAGACGCTTTTTTTTAAGAAAATATTTATACCCACTCCAAGCTTACCAAGCCACACCAACCCTTGTTTATTAATTTTTACTTATCAAGTCTCCTAAAAAATAACAATTGAAAATTGGCATTTTCCCATAAATTATAAAATATTTTAATTAAAACTGAGAAAATTGTTATTTCAATAAGTGATAAAAACAGAAACTTTCAGCGTAGAATCAGCTTTAAAACTCGCCTACCTAGTAAATCTGGATTTGTCGTAAATTAGCTCACTAAAGTATAAAACTTATATTAGCATTTTAAATATTTAATTTAAAACAGATTTTTTTAAATGTTTATTTGACTTTTGCCACGTTATAACTAAATTGCGTTATGGTGCTTTGTAAAAAGTATTAGTTGAAATTTTATATTCAACTGATATTCCCACCCCATTTTATATTTTAGATTTGGACTAAAATTCCTACAGGACCCCTTTTGAAAAAGACAACAGTAAAAAGAGGATTTTAATCATTCATTAAACTATATCAAATTTACAATGCAAAAAAAACCCTTTACTTGTTCCGTAACAAAAAGCTGTTTTTAATATGGATCAGTGACAAAATTTTGCAAGCTGAAAAATCAAGGGGAGAGAGAGTTAAGAAATAGCCAAATAAAATCATATATCCTATTTTTATAGCTATATTTAAGCCAGAATTGTATAATCGAGAAAAAAGAAATCTTTGTTTGATTTATCGAAAATTTCAAATGTTATATCTAAAAGTTTTTAAATTTTTAAAAATATTTTTATAAACAAGTATAAATAACAACATTTTTTTTGTGAATATATATTAAATTTATTGTTAAAGACTTCACAACTTATGGTTCGTTGCAAAATCACTTCACTGATTCAAAAAAGCCAGTCTAAAAGAAACAACTACGTAGTTATTATTACAATATTTATTAACAATCAATGATGAAATGTAATTCCAAAAAAAAAAGGTAATAAAGGTAAACTAATTTTTCTTAGCTCTTAGTGAATAATTTAAAGTAACTCAATAACCTGTACATGACTTATAACTTTGTCTAAAATACCTTTTTTAAAAATATCTTCTAAGAAGCATTTAAGTTTCATTTTAAATACGCGACTAACTAAATCATGTCTGTCACTTGCACATTCACCTGGATGGACTTCCAAATTTTCTGTAATTTCTTTCCATTTTGGATTACAAGTAAAAGTAATAAAAAGATCTGGTTTGCCTTATTTCTTTATAATTGCCATTGCATCCTCAAAATTTTATTTTAAAGCTCTTGGGCTTCCAACCTATGAAGATGGCAGTACAACAATACGACCTGGTCTTGTGTCACGATTATTTGCAAAGTTGTTTATATGTTCATGTTGTTCACTTCTAAGTTTGCTTTGGTTATTTCTGATGAAGGCAAGGCGTTATCCTTCAATCTTGACATATGCATCAACAGCATATTGCTGAAAAAGCTTCCTACCATAAAATATAGGGCTAAAGGTTTCTCTAACAGAAAGCCTATAATTGTAGTACTGAGACAAAGTAACATGATTTCTAACACTTGTTGCTCTGTCTGGATTGTGCTCTAGTTGATCATGGTATCCTGCATCACCTCTTGGGAAAAAAATTGGATATATCATTGGATCTAGATTAGCAGACATACTTGATATTTTTTTAAGGCCTGACCTCGAGTGTGTATAACAACTTCTCTAGATGGAGGTGGAGCACCATCGTCTCCTACAAACACAATGGCAACTTCATCATGTGAAGGTAGATTATGTCGACGTCTATCGCGACCTTCAAGCAATGACATTTTGACAACTGAAGTTGGGCGACCTTCTAATGCTGCTTGACATATTTCTTCATCTTTAATTTCTGCCATGTTTTTGAACGCAAGAGCATATGGGTTCTGTTGACTAATTATAGTCTGTAAAAGTTCCATTAACTTAAGTATGCAACAATCATTTTGCTCCATTCGAAAATTTACTACAGTATTGGGATCATAAACATATAACTGACAATAAGATGTTGAAACATTTTGATCAGGTCTCAGATTACCAACGCGGTGCATAATTTGTCCACAAATCCTAAAACAGGGTGGGCCATGATTTAAGGGAGGAGCTATTCTAGCTTCAAATGAAGCAAAGGATAGACAGGCATTATAATTTCGAATGTGATTGAAGAAATTTTGATTTAAAGCGTGTTCAACATGGTTGCCTTTCATTAAATCCATCATTAAGGTAAAAGCAGTGCTAACACCACTTTTCTTGAATGGCAGCACAAAAAATGTGTTTCATTTAAAAACTTTTTAGCACCATAATATTGACAAATATGGTTCATTTCTCCAAGGTAATTTCTCTCTATAATAATATTATTTCTTGCTATGCAATGCATTCCACGTCTAAGTAATACACGCTTAGCTTCATTTCTTTCATTTTAGTGACGATCAGTTTTTTTTCTTACCTAGCCTCGTTTCTTTCATTTTGGCGACAATTAATTTCTTCACGCCGAGCTTCATTTCTTAAATTTCTGCGAATTCTCTTTATTTCAGCTGTTAAGTTATTTGACATAATGAAGCAACTATGTTTAGTTTGATAAAACTAAACACAGTTGTTTAATTGATCTTTACACTAATCTAAAATGAACAAACATAATGAAAGACATTAATTTATCAATCTAAACTATGTATCTAAACATATCCACATATCTATTTAACATATCTATATATCTATCTAAACATATATATATATATATATATATATATATATATATATATATATATATATATATATATATATATATATATATATATATATAGATAGATAGATAGATAGATAGATAGATAGATAGATAGATATAGATAGATAGATATAGATAGATAGATAGATAGATAGATAAATAGATAGATAGATAGATAGATAGAGAGAGAGATAGAGAGATATAGATATAGATATATATAGATATACACTTTACTGGTTTAGAAAAGAAATAAACTTAAAAGGTTAGTTTAGGTTTAAATACTAAATGTTGTATTGTAGTAGTAAAACAAATAAAACATTTAAAAAAAAAAATAAGAAAAAGATGAAAGTAGTTTTAAAAAATCTATAACTAAATATTAAAGAGTGAAAACTATTTTGTAAATAAAAAAAAAAAGACGTCAACTTTTGCAAACAAAAATTGATGGACATGTTACATCATATCAACCACATGTTGCTGATACCTTTAATAATTTAAAATGATAGAAAATTTAATAACAATATGAAAAATTTTTAACTATAAGCATAAAAACATGTGAAGCATTGATTAAAAAGAAAATTTGTAGCAAAATTAATTACAACCTTTTACCGCATAAGAGTTCTTTTTAAAAATTAGATTATAAAATAATTGAATATTTTAAAATTCAAAAAAAATTTAAGAAATTATTAACTAAAGAGAAAAAACAATTTTATTATGTATTTTTCTATGTAAAGTGATATTTAAAAAAATTAAATAAAACATGAGTATTACAATAACAAATAAATAGTTTAATAATCAATACAATCTAAAATCTTACATATTTCCTCCATAGATTGCACTAAAATAACATGAGCTATTGATTATGACACAATCAAAAATAATTTAATTAAATTATAAACATAACTAATAATTTTAAAAAAATTCAAAAATCAAAACTTACAAAACAATTGTTTAAAGTTCACTACAAAAAAAAAAAAAAAATACTAATACTAATACATTTTATGTCTATAAAAATTTTAAAATAATAAAATTTAAGTAAATAGAATACTAACTGTTATCAACAAAGCACCAAACAAAAAATTGAGTTTTTTTTTACCTGATTGTGGTTGTTGTTGTGGTT